TGTGGATAAGTATATATATACGTATGTATGTGTGTATCTATGTATGTATGTATGTATGTATGTATTGTACTGTATATAGATCGTTGAATGTCTTATTGTAGTATGCTGAAATTTGACAAACTCTGACAGGTTTATTGAAGAAGAATCCAACAGAATTTTGTATTGTTTATATAAGTAGATATATATGTAAGGAACAAAATGAGGTAATCTTCTCATAAAACAAAAACTATTTCTTTTTTAACACTGTCAATTCAATCTAGTTGGGCTGTAATGTATTAAAAAACATTCATATTTATAGTTGAAAACGTTGCCTACATCATTTCACAAGAATAATTATTCATTTTGGATTTATGTAATACAAGATAGTTTCCGTTTCTCCGTGACCAGCGGAGCTAATCCGTGTCGGGTAGAAACAGGTGTCTACCTCAGTACAATGGAAGATGGTCGCGCAATTTTGTGGATTGGTCGACGTTAGACATTTACACCGTTGGATGCCGGCCGGCTCAGTGGTCTAGAAGGTTAAGCGTTCGCGCGCGAGACTGAAAGCCCTGGGTTCGAACCTCCCGAGCGGGATCGTCGATGCGCACTGCTGAGGAGTCCCACAATAGGATGAAACAGCCGTCCAGTGCCTCCAGGTTTTCAACGGTGATCTAACATCAATCAGTTCATGATCTCAATCAAAAACTAATACAAGATCGTTTCCGTTTTTTCTAATTAAAATTTCTATTCAACATGATAATGAAAATAAGTACTTGTTAGAATGTAAATTTACTTTAAATTACTTTTCATAAGTAAAGATGAATAGTGATTAGTAGTGGAATCCAGTTCGATGAGTGTTTCGTCCTTTTTGCGACTCGTCAACTGGATGTGCCTGGTTGAATGAGGTTGCTTGAACGTCTCAGTTTGAAAATAGGTAAAATAGTGTGTTGAAAAACTTGACTGATTTATATTGTTGTAATTATTTCTAAATTGAAGAGGTTACATACATTTGTAATGGTTGATTGGATCATTTCATAAGAATACTTATGACTTAATGGCAATATAGAAGTAATCTTGATGAGATGCACATATAACAAAAAAGAGATTGATCAATGTAGAGATTCAGGCAATCAAAACATAATGAGTTCAAAATTTATCTCATTGTACAAGTTAGCGGTTATCTGTGATCAGTAACTAAGTGGATAACGTGATGAAGTTTGAAGCTACGGTACTGGGTTTGAGTTTTGGAATGAACATCAAATTCAAGATTCAGGTGTATACATCTGATAAGTCTCTAATTGGACGAAACATCCTGGATTCCATTGTTAGCTACATCTATCTCCGGGGTAGCAAAACCAAAACGTGACATCAGACTACAAAATCACTAACTTCTAGTCTTAGCCATGTTGGGAGATGCAGACTACTTGGTTGAGATCTGCGCGACTATCTTAACCAATGGTTGGGGGTTCTTGGTGACATAGCTCAGAATCGATCACAATGGTGTTGGTGTATACACTCTCTATCTTCCCTTAAACTATGAGATTAAAATCGTTTCATATCTTTCTTTCTACGAACTAATTCTTTCTTCCTGTACTTTATCCTTACCGCAATCTTCTTTTTATATATTACCACAACTGAATTAACTACTTTTATGAATCCCGTGTTCATTTTGTTGTGCTGATGCAGTATGGCAACTTGGACAGATGCATATATGTGTGCCTGGTCCTACGTTGTAGCTGACTGACTGACTATAATGAACAGATTACAACTTTGTCAATATCTGGGTTGAGAGTGAATAATAAATTCCTGAGAGGTTACAATACAGTTAAGTAATCGTTAACTACTCATACAGAACATCTTAATTCATGTGTGTTGGTTATTTGAAACTCTTCATTGATGTTTAGGATTGCAAAATCGATCAGTCTTTTTTAGCATATGTGTATCTTGTGTGGATTTCCTCGAAATTGCCATTATGTTACAAGCATTTTAAGCAGAGTTTGATGATGACTAGGGGTGAAGTTGAAGACTTGCATTTTGTTTCACTTTGGACTCGTCAGATGTATCTCCATCAGAGCTAATGTTCACTCTGACACTTAAACCCATTACCGTAGCTGCAAGCGTCATCACGTTTTCCACTTAGCTACCAATTCCAGATAGCCATTGGTTGGTGTAATGAGATGAATTTTTAATTCTTATGTACTGAATAAATGAATCTTACCGTTGATGATTGGGACTTCACTTGTTGTTCTCAGCGATATTACAAGGGATAGAAAAAACTTATGATCCTTTGTGATTATCAATAATTCGTTAATTGATTTTATATAAAGGATCTAAGGAAATACTATTAGCTTAACTAGTTGAAAACAGATGAGAGAAGCCTTTAATCAAATCCTTGTGCTATTTAATACCCTTCAGGGAAGAGCATCTGAAATTATGAAGGGACTAATGGTCCTTGTAAGATTCAGACTAACTATTGGCTGAAACTTATTAATGATATGTAATAATGATCTCATATGGGGATTACAAGAAAACATTTCTCTTCTTATAATATGGACATTATCACAAGACCAGTGAGTTAGGATTCGCTGTCATAAATTTGTGGTTTTAGTCAGTTCAATGTTGTGTGATGGTCTTCCAATTCTATTACTACTACTACTACTACTACTACTACTACTACTACTACTACTACTGCTACTACTACTACTACTACTACTACTACTACTACTACTACTACTACTACTACTACTACTACTACTACTACTACTACTACTACTACTACTACTACTACTACTACTACTACTACTACTACTACTACTACTACTACTACTACTACTACTACTACTACTACTACTACTACTACTACTACTACTACTACTACTACTACTACTACTACTACTACTACTACTACTACTACTACTACTACTACTACTACTACTACTACTACTACTACTACTACTACTACTACTACTACTACTACTACTACTACTACTACTACTACTACTACTACTACTATACTACTACTACTACTACTACTACTACTACTACTACTACTACTACTACTACTACTACTACTACTACTACTACTACTACTACTACTACTACTACTACTACTACTACTACTACTACTACTACTACTACTACTACTACTACTACTACTACTACTACTACTACTACTACTACTACTACTACTACTACTACTACTACTACTACTACTACTACTACTACTACTACTACTACTACTACTACTACTACTACTACTACTACTACTACTACTACTACTACTACTACTACTACTACTACTACTACTACTACTACTACTACTACTACTACTACTACTACTACTACTACTACTACTACTACTACTACTACTACTACTATACTACTACTACTACTACTACTACTACTACTACTACTACTACTACTACTACTACTACTACTACTACTACTACTACTACTACTACTACTACTACTACTACTACTACTACTACTACTACTACTACTACTACTACTACTACTACTACTACTACTACTACTACTACTACTACTACTACTACTACTACTACTACTACTACTACTACTACTACTACTACTACTACTACTACTACTACTACTACTACTACTACTACTACTACTACTACTACTACTACTCATTTCTGATTTTCCTGTTATTGCTATAAAGAAATTTCAATAAATTTATCTTATTTTGTACATCAAGTGTAAACGCTTCTCAGAATATCATTTAAATAAGAGAGAACTAGATAGCCACTTGCGTCTAATATGGAACTTTAAAGCAGTGCGCATATATAGCCCCATTTGGCATCAAATTTATGACAATCCGGTTTTGCTACGAGCGCCTAACCTTTATACAATGGATCCGATATTTGGTGGTCTGTATTTCTCACCTCAATCGATTTATGGTAGTGTTCAACTATTTTCTGATGTCATTAAAAATAGAAAATTCAAAATCATTTTTCTTCGTCAATACGGTATAAGTATTAGTCAAGTATAAACATAAATTTAACTAATCATATTCATGTGTATACTGTACAGGCGACTGATCAGTAATATATACTTGTCAATATGGTGTGGTGTTAGCTACTAATGTCGACAGATATGAGTAGTATGTATCCTCAGTCGAAACTGAAATGCCTGGCAGTAGAAGGTTAAACAGATTAAAGAAAAGAGACTGAGAACAAAGAATGATGAGTGTGGAAATGAAAGAACAATGAAGTCTGAGACAAGTGATGGGTATTTTACAAATGAGGAATTTACTGAATGGTTCTTAGATTTTACAATGAGATTCTGTAATTTTGTATTCAAATACATCCGGTTATCCCCACTGATGTTCTCGTTCACCACAACAGGATTTCGAATATTTAAGATTTTGTCAACAAGTTAATAGTTTGAGTAATCACGATGCGAGATCGAATACAAATGTATATCATACATTTTTAAATATGAAACAGCGTTAAATCACATAGATACAAAGAGTTTCTTCATTATCACTAACATACACAGACTATTACACAAAATTATGTAGAATTGATATTCGACACATTGAATTGTATGGGTGTTTATTTAGATATGATGTATGTTTTTAATGATATTTTCACTTAAATTATCTCTTAGCAGTGACCAGTGGAGTTCATCTGGGTCTGTTGTAAGATTGTAACTCACTGAAGACAATGATGGATTTTTCGCTCAGTTTCGTAGATTAGTTGAAGTTAGACATTAACACCGGTGGATGCCGTTTCACGAAACTTATAGGTCCTGCGTTCGAATCTCGTGAGACGGGATCGTGGATTCGCACCGTTGAGGAGTTCCACAGGAGAATGAAAAAAAAAGATCAGTACTTCCAGGTTTTCCATTGTGGTCTAGCTTCAATTGGCTCATGATTTCAACTATTAAAACTAATATAATATCCACAAAACCCCTTCGGATATAAATATTTAAATCATAACAAATATTGATTTTTCATTTCAGATTGATTTATTTACTCATTTATTTATTTTGTTTATTAGATGTGCCATGGAAACAGAAGTCACTACACATCCAAACTATACACCAACATCATTTATAGAAAATCATTCCGATAATTGTATAAAATTAAATCAAATTATACATGAAAATTCTTTCATAGAAAAACCGTTTGAAATCTCTTCATCCATAAGAATGACACCGACAACACCTTCAGCAACAACAACACCTACAACAACAGCAACAGGAACAACAGTACTACTACCAGTAACAACAACATCAACAACAACAATGACTAAAACAAATACATCATCTAATTATGAAAATATTTATATTCCAACTATAAATAATTGGAATCAACAAATGCATCATTTGAGAATGGATAAATCGCATTTTATTGATTATTATAAAACAAACTACTTATTAAATAATAGTAGTCAAAATAATAATCATAAAAATAAAGAAATTTTATTTATTTTTGAAAATGGTAAATCAATGTCATATAGAGAATTATTAAAATCTGGTTTTGGTAATTGGGCTAATCAAATTAAACAATTTAGTACACAATTAAAACTATTAATACAAGATGATTATAATGCAATTTGGGGTTTAGCTGCATTAATTTTAGTGAATTATAAATCAATCAATTGTAAGTTCTTTTCTTTTTTTGTTTTTGTCTTGCAAATGTTTATTGTTGACTTTTCCATGACTAAATATTTACTCTAAGATATTTCATACAATAGAATGAATGAGAAGTATGAAAATGTATGTTTTTATTTTTTTATTTATTTAGACACATAAACATTGGTACAAGGAGACACCAAATAGTTGTGCGCCACATAGATCATTCGATTTATGTGAGGTCTGGGATACTGCCCGGGTGCCCAGACCGAAGCAGGTGGTTTGCTTAGGGGGCCACAACCAGAGCCTTTGACCTAAAGGTCTGATCCACAAGGCAATGGAGCATCGTAAGGAGATGCAGTCCCATGGTAGCCAGTGACCAAAAATTGGTCCATACGCCATTTGTTCCCGCAAGATACTGGAGCCCATGTGTACTATTGATTTGGGATCCGTTTTAAGCGCCGGACATTCGCTTTTAGTCCTCTCAATTTCGTAAACAACAGTAGTACCACGAGAAGGCAGTGAGTAGGACTTCCCTAGCAGAGGCTATATACGCGTGGCCATGTGAGAGCATTTCGAGAGGGAGGGCGGGCCCACCCCACTCTCGACCATACCAGGGCATTGGGGGTCAAAATGGATGGTTACTTGCATTTCGATAAATTTCGGTAATGAAATATGAAATAAATATTCAGTCAGTCAGTCAGCTACAGCGTTCAACCAGACCCATATACTGTACAAAACTCCTTAATATGACCCATCGAAGAAACTAAACAAGTTTGAAGCAAAGATTTTTAAACCTTGTAATAATCATGATACATTTAACCTATTACTGTTAAATATGTTACAATTGAATCACTTGAACGAATCCAATTAATATATATCCATTGGCGATAATATGATACAGTGGTTTAGGGTTGTTAATTTCCAATCATAATAACTGATGTGTTCTTGATAATGCATTGATGAAATGAGTATGAAGTTAAATGAAATCAACTAGAATGTATCATTTGTTTTCTATTCAGTTAGTCAGTCAATTACAATGTAGGATCAGGCATATATATGAATCGATACAATTTGCCATACCTCACTAGCACAACAAGATGAACACTAGATTCATAGAAGTTGTTAATTCACTGGTGGTAATATATAGAAGAAAGATTGTATATAAGGATATAGTACAGGAAGAAAAAATTAGTTCGTAGAAAGAAAGATATGAAGCAGTTTTAATCTCTTAGTTTAAGGGAAGTTAGAGAGTGTATACACCTACACCATTGTGATCGATTCTCAGCCATGTCACCAAGAGTCTCCAACCATTGGTTACGATAGTCACGCAGACCCCAACCAAGTAGTCTGCATCTACCAATATGGCTCAGACTAGAAGTTGGTGATTTTGTGGACTAATGCCACGTTATTGGTTTAGCTACCCGTAAAATTGTTTCAACCGTCTCCAACACTAGTCAGCATTGCTGAAATTAATATTAAACTATGAGGTTTTCTTAGTTATAAAAAATATAAATTGTGATAGGTAAGATTGATCTGTTTCAATTAATGACTATTTGATGTTGTGTTTATTCAAGTCATGTAAACTTGTCCAAACCTACTGATATGAAGTTAACAGTCTATATGACTTAAAGGTGAAGTATTTTTACATTATTATTATTATTATCGTCAATAATGATAATGTTAGCTTGCTCACTTGAACAAATTCAAGCCACACATGAACAACAAAATTTTTAGTACTACTGAAGATTAGTTGTGGCCAGATTAGTTTGGTGGTGATATTTCAGACTATAAAGCCAGATAGTGCGGATTGGATTCATACCTAGATCATCCGTTTAATCAAGATAGTAGATATGTCTTACTGATGAATGCCAACTAACATGAAATCTAAGTTCATATTGTCCCATCTATTGACTCTAAATGCTTCACATAAAAAAATTATCTTTTCATTATGTTATACGGTTTCTTATCAGTTACAAACAGTCTGAAGGTACAGAGTATAATGAAATGAACATGAAGAAAGGTTTTAGATACTTCCTTCAATGAAGTTTAGATGAAAGTTCGTAAGAAAACCGAAACTCTTATAGGAAAGAAGATGGTCTTAGATCCAAGTTTATCATTATACATACTTCCAAACACTTTTACAACCGGATATGTAAAGAAATAAGTCTAATAACGCATAATAAACTTTACGCTAAACACTGAATCATATTGTACACAATGCATATATCTATATATACTATATGTGAGCAATGACTTTGGTATGGTGAACGATTCAATTACTCATTTACTATGTGATTCTGAAACGGAATATGAACCGCCTAAAGTTTCCAGGTTTATCACCTCTCTATTTATAAACGTCTCCTGTTTACCTTCATCTACATCAATTTATTGATAGACGTATTAATAACAAAACAATAAGTAGTAGTCACCTTTCTGATGACTGAGTACTGAGGGATGACATAGTAACTCATTAACGCTATCTAGTTTATCATGGAAAATCAATCATTTGAAAAGCTTTCAAATGAAAGCCTCTAATCATCCAACACAATGGCATTATTTCATGAATGTGTTTGCAATCTTTCCGAATAAGCGAACAATACTATTGTAGTGAACAAGTAACAAGTGGGGACAATGAATTGTATTTGAACATAAAATTACAGAATGTCTTAGTAAAATCTGAACATCATATAATAAATAGTTCATGAGTCAATCGTCTCAAACTTCCTTGTTCTTTCGTTTCCACACTAATCATTATGTGTTCTTGTTCTATCCTTCTCAATCTTCTCGACCTCCTGCTGTCAGACATTCTAATCCTGATTATCGTTACATACTACTCATGTTGATATAAGTAGTGTGGTGCGTGCTGCTTATATCGATATAAGTAGTATATAACGCGAGTTAAAGAATGTAATGTCTGGCAGCAGAAGACGGGAGAAGATCAAGAAAGGAAGAGAGAGAACACAATGGAACTTGTAAGAAACCGCATGAACAATGAAACGTGAGGCAGTGGATTGATGTTTGCAACGGCAACAGTCCGGTTTGATATGATGGAATGATATTTTGCAAATTAACGATTTACTATTTGGTTTATCTATTTTACCAAGTAACTCTGTAAATTTATGCTAAACATATTCGGTTGTCCCCAAGCGTGTTCTGTTCACTACAGTAGTACATGTCACACTATATTAAGAGTAGCTTTCAGATTAATGAAACAATTGAAGTAGTTTAAATATTGTGTTCCTTTTGTTGATAAGTACTTAACTATGCAGTTCAAAAGCAGTATCTTCCTTTTATAAACTCTTACGTATCATGTGAATACTGACAGTTTGCACACATATGTAAATTGGTTTATGATGGAGTTTTGTTCTCTGAGCTGGATGGTTTGGTCGTGGAGCTTTCATCGTTCTTCTGAACGACACCATCCGCACAACCTTCAGATTTCACTTCTATCTGAAGTTTGTACTGATGATGTCTTTCGGAAGAACGATGAAAGCTCCATGACCAAACCGTCCAGCTCAGAGAACAAAACTCCATCAAAATCATCCACCTGAGCTACAAATTTTCTTCACCATCTCAAAATCATATGAGTGTAATACCCTTCTCGTTGTTCGAAAATGGGGGAATTTCGCCAAAAGACTGGCTTCCACTCGAGAACAACTATATTTTCTCCATGAAACTGGTTTATATCAGGTTTCAGTTTCATTATCAGTGATTGATTCTAAATCATGTTTTAACGGGAATGTTTAAAATGAACGGAAAGATGAAGGCAGTAGTTGTTGTAATTCAGGAACTTTTCATCAGATTATATTCGTTTATGTATAACAGGATGATAAAAACATCATTGATTTTGATATCGTAAAGTGTTTCAGAAGCTGCTATCACTAAAATTCATTGATTTCTAGATGTCTTGGTCATTGATGGTAAAACTGATATTCTTTTAGAGATATTAACATGACAATAATGCTATTATTGAATGATTTGGGTTGTAACTATTCGTATTTACTTTTACTTACGAGTTTGACCCTCAGTGAAGCATAAGCCACCGACCAGCATTCTCCAACACACTCTATCCTGGGCCTTCTTTTCTAGTTCCATTCAATTTTTGTTCATTTTTCTCATGTATGTTTCCATTTCCCGGCGTAATGTGTTCTTTGATCTTCCTCTTCTCCTTTGGCCTCCAGCATTCCATGTGAGGGCTCGCCTTGTGACGTAGTTGCATGCATTCTTCAATATGTGTCTCATCAACTTCCAGCACTTCTTCCTCCGCTTATTCCTATTAAGATTACGATTAATAAAATTAGACTAACATTCTTAATGAAAAAGGAAACATGCTTTTGTTACTGAATGCTAATTAATCATGTTTATCAACAGAGTTCTACAGACGACTACAACAGGTTATATTAACTTCATTAGGGATGTTACTTTTCCTAATGTTTCCTAGACCCACTCAGCCTGTTTTTCAAAGTCAATGATTGACCATAATCCAACGTATTCGATATAATTCATAGTTTAAAATAAACCTTTAAATCTAAACAAAAAGATGCCTAATTGTCAAATGAACAAGTATTTTCGGCGAGACTCTAATTTATGGACAACCTTTGAACAAATCTTAGGCGACCTTGAGCCAATCAGTAAACAGTCAGTATAGAGTAAAAATATATTATACAAAATCAAGGAAATAAAGTGGATACACCTCGTATACGTGGTTCAAATACATATCAAGCTTAGAAAGAGGTTCAGAGGTTCTAAAATCGTAATGCATGTAGTAGAGGAAATCATCCATATAGCTACAGAATAGTTGGCCTCTGGAGCCATGATAAAGTCTCAAAAACTCTTTCAGCCTCGACCAAATAGCTTCAGTATTGTCTGTGTGCACTCCAGTTGTTGAGTGCACGAAATGCTACTTGTGGATAACGACATGATGCACATAACCAAGCCTATGTATGAGTCTGTGCGCTCTCCAATCATCCGTATATATTGTAGTACCTGGCTGCAGCCAGTGTTACTAGTGCTTTTATTATCCAGTTCACAATAATTGTCATAATTTGCCCTAGTTAGGAATTATATATATGGGGTCTTTAGCACGAACTGACATCAGCTATAATGCTAGAAATCTGTTTAGCCAAATGGATGAAAGGCTTTCGCGTTAAAATCCGAGATCTGTTATCTTATACCTGACTGTTTCGTCCACAAATTATAGTCCCGCCGTTTTATTCGTTATAGGCGCTCAATTATCACGTTTTGTACAAAATTCCTTGTGAACTGATCGTACGTTAGCATTAAGCACTGAAGTTGTCGCCGTCACCTTGAAATCTCTAAAACGTCTCTGATTGGCTCGTCCATAAATTAGAGTCTCGCCGTATTTTCAATTTTTATTAGTTGTATCAATGTATATATATACTTACGCCTGTTACTCGTAGGAGCATAGGCCGCTCACCAGCATTCTCCATCCAACCCTGTCCCAACCAATCCTTTCCACTATTCATCCTTTTCATCTCTGCTTCTATTTTTCGAAGTAATGTGTTGTTTGGCCTTTCTCTTTTACTCTTCCCTTCACGATTCGAAGTTAGAGCTTGACTTCTGATGCAGTTTGATGAGTTCCATAATGCATGTCCTATCCATTTCCATCGTCTTTTCCTAATTTCTTCTTCAGCTGGAAGTTGGTTTGTTCTCTCCCACAGAAGGCTATTGCTGATGGTATCCGGCCAATGGATGTTGAGTATCTTGCGTATTTATAAATAGCTGTACTTTCTTGATTGTGGTTGTTGTAGTTCTCCAAGTTTCAGCTCCATACAGTAGAACTGCTGTATATATATAACAAAATTATTAAACGATTCTTTTGTAGTGGCTTTACTCCATTAATCAATCACCTCAGTAACTGTTATATCATAAATCTCAATGGTGTTTTAGGATAGCACAGATCACAAAGCTCTAAGTACATAGAACGAACTTTGAAGCAAATAGGCGAATGTGTGTGTGTGTGCGTGAGCAATTACATAAACAAATGTATAATCAAATTGCATAAGGACACATGCAAAGCAAATCAAGGACTAATAAAACGATCTCAGTACATATATACATAATGGATAGGACATACATTACGGAAATCATCAAACTGCATCACGAGGCAAGCCCTAACATGGAGTCCTGAAGGGAAGCGGAAAAGAGGAAGGCCAAAGAACATATTACGTCGGGAAATACAAGCAGATGTAAAAAGAATGAATAGTAACTGGAAGGAGCTGGAAAGGACTGCCCATGACAGAGTTAGATGGAGAATGCTGGTGAGCGGCCTATGCTCCTTGACAAGGAGTAACAGGCGTAAGTAAGTAAGTACATATATACATAAGGAGAAGGATGAATCTTCAACATTTTAACTAGAGTCTATCATGTGCTCTAATGATCATAATAGTAGAAAGATAGACGAATTGTTACGATTCAAACAACATTATCTATTAAGTAAGTGAATAAATTGTAGGATGGTTGCTATACGTTAAAAGTACGTTGATTGTTTTTCATCTTTTTTCTTCTTTATTCTTATTTTCAGATCTCACTCCATTGTCAAATTCTAGTGAAGTTTATTCATTACATCATAGATTTGTTGAAATGTTAAAAAGTCATTGTTGTTCATCAACTCAACACATAAATTTAACATCAAATACACAAACATCATTCATTTATGACTCGACTTCTACTACTAATAATAACACTACTAACAATATTATAAGTAGTAATAATAATTCATCTAAAAAATTTAATAAACTCAATACAAATGATCATCTAATATCAACTTCATTATTACGTAATGATTCAACATATTTTTCTAAAGTATTTCAACAAAAAGATATGATACATGAAATGACACGTGAATATTTAATTCAACCATTACAACACTTATATGATCATGATCCAAATACATATTCATGGTTAAAAGATATTTTAGAAATAATCAAATTATCCGACTAGATGTAAACACAATCAAGATCCATTTTGTCGGATCAATAATGATCCTATTCATAAGGAGATAATAAAAAATAACTAATGGTATAGAAAGTAAAACAAACAAACACACAAACAAACAAAAAGTCACAATTATCTTCTATCATGATGATTATTGAATTTCTACAGGTAAAATAAACTCAGTTTTCGCTCCCCCCGCCCCCCTGACGATCTACCCCCTCCCCAAATTTTTTTCTCATTTTTTTTATTAAATAAATCAATATTCGTTTTCTTTCTTCCTCAAATATTTCCCATTTATCCCATTTTGGTATCATTAAAGTTCTATCAAGAAATGAACCGTCTAATAGGATGATAAATGATGTATTATAATGAGGTTAAATCAAATAGATAATTATATATATATATATACATAGAAAGAGAGAGAGAGAGAGAGAGAGAAAGAGACACAATTTACTATTCTGCTTTACATTATATATTTTATTCATGAATTAAAACAAGAAACAAAAACAATAAAGCCAAATAAAATTAATGCAGCTTACGATTTAATCATCTTTTTTTTAATGGATTCAATATATACTACTTATAATTCGTGATTAAGAATAGAAAACGACAATGTTTTTGTTGTTGTTGATGATGATTATTACATAACACTATTACTATTATTACTATTATTATTACTATTACTATGGTTACTATTATTATTATTATTATTATTATTATTATTATTATTATTATTATTATTATCGATTAAGTAATCAGTCAATAAAATGTAATCATTCAAAAGACAATCATTTGATTAAGTGATTTGTTAAATAATTTAATTTTAAGAAAATCTTTATTACTACTGATAAAACTACTCAATATTACTATTACTACTACTAATACTACTCCTATTACTATTACTATTACTACGATTGTTTTGTTTTTTCTAATTACTATGGATAATATTATATATGTATGAAAATGACTAAATAAAAACAAATAAAAAAAAAACAAACCCATAAAGATATATACATGTGTATAAACAAGTTACTATGTGGGGGGTGTTTTTTTGTTGCCGCTGCGATTTTCAGTGATAACAATGATTAACATTATGTTATTAATTAATTTATTACTTTAAAGAAAAGAAAATATAAAGAAATTGAGTGTAAAAGAATTTTCTTTTTTTTTTGTTTGAAGATTGTTTTTTTTCGGGGGTGGGGGGTGTTATACCTTGTGGCCTGTGTGCCCTGTTAATGTACAATGTGATGATACTGTGAGTTAGAGAGCAGTGGATTATCGATCGAACCAATGACACATAAAACAAGTACCCGTAGTCTAGAGTACTTATCGATCCTGCTTCCTGCCTAGCCCTGCCTGTTAAGTCCAGAACACCGAATCCCAGACTCTGCGATATGAATCATTATATTTCAAACATACTGGGTTTATGTATCAACCAGACAAACTACAACGTACCATAAAATAGGAAACAACATTTGTACAAGATTTAGCCAAATATGGTTGTGAATGTGGGAGATAATAATTGATAGACCAGGTATAACTCAAGAATGGTAAATCGTATAATAATACCTCATAGGTCTAAATAAAGCTCATAATAAGAGGGACATGAATATGAATAGTTTAGTTATTTAACAATTATACAATAAAAATATACGTATAGTGTTGGTCCGTAAATGGATCCCAAAAGTTACCATTCATTATACCTATCGGGACATAACAGAGGGGTGGGATAACAGTTTTACGCATCAAAATTATAAGTTGATTTGGATATTGACAGAATTGTTGTGTAAATCAGGTACATAATTGCCCTATTTCTGACGATAAATATTCATTCCAATAGTTGAGACTATAAGTCAATTGAAGCCAGACCACTGGAAGGCCGTTTCGTCTTATTGCGGGACTCTTCACTAGTGGGCATCCACGACCCCACCTCGCGAGATTCGAGCACAGTACCTATCAGTCTCGCGCACGAACGCTTAACCTCTTGACCACTGAGCAGGCCGGCATCCACCGGTGTTAATGTGTAACTTCAACTAATCCACGAAATTGGACGATACATCCACCATTGTCATCAATGAGTTACTATCTCACCACTGACCCGGATGAATTCCACTGGTGATTGCCTCTCACTAAAAATCCAGGATATACATCTTGAAGCCAGTCACTAGTGAGCATATGTTGATTAGTATCAGAAGGGGTTTTGTGGAAGTTGTAGTAATTTCAATGGTTGAGACCATGAGCCAATTGAAACTAGACCACGATGTGAAATCTGGAAGCACTGGATGGCCGTTTCGTCCAGGTATCCACGACCCCACCTCGCGGGATTCAAACTCAGTACCTATTAGTTCAATTGAGCTATGATATCAACTATTAAAATAACTACAATCACTACAAAACCCCTTCTGAGATTAATATTAAATTTCAACTTTTAGTCTATATATTAAATGTATGCAAACCATAAGTTTAGTTATAAACAAGGCAGAAAAAAGGAATCAAGTGAAAAATTTTCATTTAAATTACTTATGTGTTATTACATATAATAAACCAAAGCAATTAGTTAAGGAAAAAGAAAGCAAATCAATCACTAAGATTCGAGAACAAAGAAACAAGTGAGTAGAACACTTTGAAGAACTCTTGAATAAATCAACACTACTGAACTCACCAGACATGGATGCAGCACATAAAGACCTACCAGTTGACGTTACCTCGACAACAATCGAAGAAATCAACATGACCATCAGACAAATCAGGAGTGGAAAATCAGTACGACCAGACATTGTACCGGCTGAGGCACTGAAGTCAACCAAATAGATAACTACAAACACGCTCCACATCTTAGTCAGAAAGATTTCGAAAGATGAACAAGTGCCGACAGACTGGAAAGAAGGATAACCTCGATAGATACCGAAGAAAGATCTCAGAAATTACGAGAACTACAGAGACATCACACTAGTATCAGTGCCAGGAAACGTTTTCGACAACGTTGTTGAACCGAATGAGGGATTCTGCAGACGCCCAACTCCGAAATCAATAGGCTGGATTCTATAAGCATAGATCGTGTAACGACTTAGACTTAATTATCTACCTAATGTCAGTTGATAAATAAAATGATCTTCATTATTTCATTCTTATCTGATGAAGATTGGGATTACTTTTGAGAGTTGAACAACCAACGGTAATCCCTAGTGCTGAACGAATGATCACTTTCGAAAATAATCAAAAATTCTTATCATGTCATGGTATATCCGAGGGTGAAGAGAGTTAGCTCTCCCTCTCAAAATGCTCTCACATGGTCACTCATATACAGCCACTACCAGGAACGTCCTACTTACTTCCTTCTCATGACAGGGGTGTTACTTATGAAATTGCGAGGACTAAAAGCGAATGTCCGGCACTTTAACCTGGTTGGTATATATGGAAGATCCACCTAGGGGAGTTGCTGTCACGTCATTTTAATTTCAAAATGTCTAATTCCAATGTGGTATAAGTTTATTTTTATCAGCGAATTATTCACCTCTGGGTTTATCTTAAACGATAATTCTCAAATGTCTAATATTCATTTCCGAATTGATACTGTAGTGAACGAAGATTAAATGGAGAAAACCAATTCACTGTTTTAAGTAAAATTACTCAGTGCCATTGTAAATTATGAAAATCATACATTAAATACATTATCTTTATCTAGTTATCCTTTACGTATTCCATCATTCTTCTAATCCTGTTGTTATTTCAACTGCTCTCTGTTTCCCTTTCTCTTCCTTTCATTTCAATCATCTTTTCATAAGTATGCTACTTTCAATTCCTACTACACACTACATATGTCTATCTGCATAGGCAGCTCACATAACACTACTGTAGGATACAACAATACGATATCATAAACTGAAATAAGAAGTAAAGTTGTATTCGATTGATTTACATTTGACAATACTGAATAGGGAAAAATAATGTATGAATCAGTTAAGACCTGTATATTCTAATTAACTGAAGAAGATCTAAATTTTGAGGCAAAATCTGTTCTAAATGGTTCAGTTTCCTTATTGGCAGTAATAAGGATTGATAATGATCAGTCTCTTACAATACGTGACTCAATATAAACGTCTAGTTACAAGTTTGATCATGTTTATTATGTACATGGCAGAGGAATTAAATAGACGCTTTTCGTTCAGCTTGGATTCGGCCAACTAGATGGACTTAGATCATATTATTCCTTCTCATACTCAGGGAGTTTGCTCAGCAAGAACTCCAACTCCTACATGTATAACTTCATAACTGTTGTATAAATAATTGGCTAACTGAACTTAGCAGTTTAGTAGTTAACGTGATGGATTTTATATAACGACAGCTGTTGTGTTAGCCTCTGTACGAAGATCAACAAACAAATATAACTGACGTATCCTAAATAGAAGTAAGCGTACATTCAGAATTCAAGTGCTAGACAAAATCCGAAAGAAATTTAATTTGTGATGTTTAGGACTGCATTGGATCAGTCTCTTATTAGCATATGTGCATACTGTGTGTATTGCCTCGATATAACCTTAATTCACAAGCAATATAAGCAAAGATGGATAGTGACTAGCAGTGGAATCCAAGACTCGTGTTTCGTCCTATTTGAAACTTGTCATCTGGATTAATGGGAAGATTCAAGTAAATAATACCAAGTGAATTTAAACTTCATCCCATTGCACAAGCAAGTGGCTATCAAGACTCAGTAGCTAAGTGGATAATGCGATGGCGTTTGAAGTGAAAGGTATTGTGTTCATGTCTCAGTGTGAACATTAACTTTGAGATGAAGGTGTATCCAGCTGACGGGTCCCAAATAGAACGAAACGCGTGTCAAATTGAATTCTACTGTTAACCACTATCCATCTTTGCTTATATTGCTTGTGAGTTAAGGTTATATCGAGGCTTAAGAAAAGGTTATACAAGTCTGAGATCCCGTTTGTTATAATTCATACGACTGAAGACTACTGAATAATGAAGCGTATGTAAAGAGATAAAGATATATTTTGTTAATCAACAAATATATAAAATGAATTTAGTTTATACATGCTGTAGCAACTATCCTACAATCAATTTCGATAATGGTTGATTTTGGTTAAGCCCTTCGTATTTACTTACTTAGCAGAGAATGTTATTCGAGCAGTACCAATTTGCGTATTTCTTTGTACTAAACGTGTACGCCTGATCAAATGACAGACTCTAGCTAAAATGCTGATAGCTTAAATATCACTCAATGACTAATTCTCTTCCCCATGTACATATGTACGCGATTCCTATTATTAGTCTTTGCTTTGACTTGCGTATACTTATTCGCCTGTCCGCTTCATAGACGCTCGATGTGCTTAAAACTTTGTGATTTGCGTCGCACACACACATTCACCTTTCTGCTTTAAATTCACTCGATAGCTGTATAATCAGTACTATCCACTGATAAAATGTAGTTGCCTTCAGATTATAAACACCGTTGAGATTTAAATAATAACGGCTACAAGGATGATTGATTAACGAAGCAAAGCTACTAGAAAACCATCTTGACTCAAATAAATTATATGAATGAACTAATAATCTTTCAAAAAGATCATTGGTTGTCAAGTTTATTTTAACAGAGTAGTAAAAAACAATTTCTCAAGGTTATACCAAAATGTTTGGCTGGAAACGTTTTGGCAACTGATCTCAAAAAATGTATAGTTGGACAAAATTAATATTTTGAAAAGAACC